GAATGCCAAAGCCCATCATGGAGATTGGTGCCTGGAAAAAAAAAAAAAAAGAAAAAAGAAAAAAGAAAAAGAAAACAAATATGAAGGACAATAATAGAAGATCTGGATCTAACTGTATACTTCAAATCTTTGCTTCCAACTTGTGACTATAAAAGTACAGCAGAATCCAACACAGTTCTGACTGGTAGTTTGAAAGAACTCTACTCCTGGAAGTAAATTGCCACAGAAGAAAAGGCCCAAGAAGGGGATAGTTTTTGAGAACATGTAAGCAGATCATATTAATTCAACCTGCTAGTTATACTGCAGGCACTCAGCAAGTTGGCATGGCTCTTTACATTTATGGTAGCACATTATTAATGTTTTTTGGGATTAGGTCTACTTTGAGTAAATTAGGAAAAGCTAATAGCTCATTGGAGTATGCAGAGCAGATTTCTGTTGCATTTCTGGGAATAAGCACATGACTGAGATTAGATTCAACGAGAAGGTCATTCCTTGTCTCAGTCACTACATGAAAGCTGACAACCTCAAATATGTTTCAGTAGGATCTGTTCTTAAAACCTTTCCTTTAAACATTTCAGCATGAAGTTAGCACACAGTCTTACTGGAAAGATGTACCAAAGTTTCATATATTTTATGGATTTTTACATGGATTTTCTGAGAGCTGGGATTATTGTTCTGCTCTGTCCAGAAACCTACAAAGGGAAGTGGGAGACTATGGTACTGAGTAACCTCTCTCCCTGTTACATACTTACGCACAGTGTGAAATAACCTCTCTCCTTATTCTGAAAATAAGTGCTGTATACCAGTGTTCTTGAAATAGCATCATTAAGCTAAAAAGAAACTCCACATCATCTACTCAAACAGCCAGGAAAACCGGTGAGCAAAGTTATAAACTCACATACAGCAGTGAAGATCAAAAGTAACACAGTTCGACGTGTGCTATCATCAAACTGCAGTCACTGAGACCAGGCTGAGACAATTAGCATTTACTCCCCTCTCTAATTGGATATTTTTCGTTATTGTAGCTTTCAGAAGAAACAAACGAGCACTCAGTGACACAAAGAGGTGTGAGATCAGCTCAAAACAAAATAAAAAAAATTGTGGATGTTAAATGTATGAAAAGCCATTTCATTATGAATTTGGAAATGAGACAATTTCCAGAGAAATGGCTGCTAACGCAGACACAATTTTCATACAATAAGACAGCAATTTCCAAGAGAAATGTGAATGAGTTTTCAGCTAGAACAAGTCAATTTTGAAGTGAAATATGGTGGTTAAATTTGAAAAGATGTCATGACAGAACAGGTTACATTTGGGTCAAAACCAGGTCCATTCTTGAGCATGCATGAGTCTATTGTGAGAATCCAACATATGTAGGAGGTGGCATTTGCAATTTTTGCATATTTTCCATGTGTAAGTAGGCGGTTTAGCAGTGTTTTGGATGGCACCAAAGATTGGGATCAGGTTCATAATTTCAGAACTACATAAAAACAAATACAACCAAATATTGGCATTGTCTCTCAGCTTTGTCAACAATTTCATTAGGACCTGCAATAAAGGCTTGAAACTCCATTTTCAACATTTAGTTGTGGCAAACTGAGGTTGTAACAATCCACATGAATAAGGATAGATCCGTGGCTGCCTCATTTTCTTTTACAAAAGGGAATGAAACACACATACAGAACAACTCAGCTTTGACAGCTCCGTCAGATTTTCTCTTTACTTCTTTTAGTAGACACATCTGCCCTCTTTAATTCTGCACTGGGAATATTTTAACATTACATATTTTTAAACAGATGCTCTTTTAGAAAATACTGTTATTATTCTTCAGACCTCTGAGTTCCATCAGCCTATTATCCATCCACATTTAGGAACCAAGTATTCAGTCTATGTGTTAATAAATTCACAGGTCTCCCACTCAGTGTGGGTGCATAGCAGTATGGGATATGTATGGCCCTAGGACAGAATATTTCTGCTCAGGTTATCAATATGGCATACACAAGTCACACTGAGATGGCAGCTGGGCCACTCTGATTGTTCTGTCTGAAATTTTCTTTTTGTTTCTTGGAGCCAAAGCACAACTTCATGTTTAGCATTTACAAGCAACTTCTTCTGAATTTTAAGCCAGAGATACAGCCCAATTTCACCCACCTGCATTTCTCCAGCTGCACAAAACAGCTTGCAAACTAGCTAAGATGGACTGAGGAGGAGAGGAAGCCTATGGTCAGTTTTCTCTGAGCAGCGCATAAAGGATAGTATTCTCATACAAAGCAACAGTTAGAGGAAGAAAATTAGCTCTGAAGCTGTGTTAACTTGTGCTGAAAGGCACTGCTGCCAAGCTGGCTCCCAGCTGACTTCAGCACATTATGAGGACAAGTAGCATTAAGGTCTTCATGTGACCTGACTGAAGAAGATTTAGCATGACTTAGAAAACACAGCGACTAAGATAACTGTCAAGCACAATTAGCCTGAAGATCTCAGGATGCCAACTTTCCATATTCAGATATATCTCAAACTACACAGAATGGTTCTACCACTGAAAAGTGAGAAACAATTTGTAAACAAAAAAGAATGTACAGTACTTCCTCACTTTGCTATCCTTTCTTCCTGCAGAGTCAAGCCCTTGGTGTTTTAATAGGGAAAGGTAAGAGAAAACAAAAACAAAGTACCTTCACTGATTTCCACTGGGTCTTCTGCCATTTTCTGAATAAGAAGTGTCAATCTCCCACCGTGGAGATAAACCAAAAGAGATCCTGAATTTTCAGACAATTCGGTGGACAGGAGTAAGCCATCTTTATTCCACGTTCGAAACTGAAAACTGACTGACAACCCATCAATTTGAGGAGTTCCAGGCAGTAATAAGTAGCTTCTACTGGAGCTGACAAAGGTGATGGGAACAATTTGTGGTTCTGAGCAGGAAAAGGTCACATTCCCCTGCAAATAATAAAAAGCAAAGTTGTTAAATGTCTTTAAAAATATCATATTTAAATAAATTCATTGGATTTCTAATGGTGCTAAAGGCTGAAATGGTTTTTTTTTACTCAAAGTCTCGGATCTCATGAGGGTATGTATCTGTCCAAGAAAAACATATGTGAAAGTTTGTATTCTCACCTCAAAAAGAAAATACATACATACGTACATAAAACAAAAATCTGAGTTCTTAGAAGGATTTAGACATGCTCTAAATGTTCTGTATCAGATCCGCACCTCAGTGCAGATGGGCATATTTGCAGCATGTCAGTTCTAGCCCAGACAGATCATCTTCATGTGGCTGTCTCTGCTCCGTGTTTCCAAGAGCCTTTCATTTCAAATTTTTTAAGTCCAAATTTAGATATATGTCATTTGGAACTATGCTGATTTCAAGAACTGATGCTGAAGTGCTAGCAAATTTTCCTGAACTTTCACATACTGTAGGATGTGATACAAAGGTCTTGCACTGGCTTTGTACTGATGGGATTACACAGCTGTGAGTAAAGAAAGAGGCAGCTGAAAAAGTATCTTCAAATGCACAGGAAACCTCCTAGATAGACTCTAATATATATTCTAAATATAAGATATATTCTAAATATAAGCTAAAACATACCTGTATAATATATTTTTTTGTCTACTTACGCTGATACCATAAAAACTTAAATTCAAGTCTCCCATATTCACTTTAACGTATTGCAAGGGGCCAAACATGAGGCAAGTTTGGCTATATTTCAAATATTCAATACATAACCTGCAATAGCAGTACTGGTAATGTTTTCATTCACCCAGTGAGGCACAGCCTATAAAGGATCTGGCACAGCCTTATGCTACTCCTAAATAACAAGAGTCCACTTAATAATAACACAGTTAAAAATGATTATTACAAAAAAAAATTCAAAATTCATAAGAAAATTCAAACTAGACGTCACTTAAATACAGTATTCATAGTGGAATGAAACAATATTTGTTAGATTTCTTGACCTATGCTAGGTCTCACTACTTACAGGGAAAATCTTGAGGAAATATTAAAATGTTACATATACAGCAATAATGGTGAAATCCAACATCACTTCAACACTAAGCTTAATTGATTACCTTAGTCTTTCAACTCTGAAACAATGGTGCTATCTGCCACCACATTTACTCAAAGCTACGAGCAGAATCTGTACCAGCATATATCACTCTGGTAGTGATACGTGCTGGTAAAACACCAACTCTGCTGTTTTGTTCAGCCACTGCATATAACCCAAACAGGTCATTCAAGCCATACAATAAAACCTTACCTGCATATAAAGACAGAATATGTTCAAGGAGCTGTGTCTTTCAAAGAACTTCCAGGCAAGTGTTGCAGCCAGGTTGCTTTGAACTAGCCTTTCTAAAATACCAACTGGAATCTGATAAAAACATCTGGGTAAACAGCTTTCTCCGTGGTACCACTTCTCATCAGAGCTGGTACCTCACTCTAACAGGATAATTATAATGAACAGCACTTGATGGATGTGTAGAAGTTGTACAGTACTTGGGGAATTCCTTACTGAAATCTAAGACAGCTGACGGAACTAGTTCCCTATTGCTTTCAAATGTCTTTCTAACCTTTATTCTAAAATGGGAAATAAATAAAGTGCCAGAAAGAGACTGAGTTTATCTCTGCATGAAACAACCTTTGACAGATATATATCTATATCAATTTATGTATTCCCTGCCTTGTTAGGCAAATGCTACAGAGAAGATTTAAGAATGTGAAAGGTATCTGTGGGTATATCACGTTAAAATGAGTTTTGAAATACAATCCAGAGCTTATCCAAACTTATTTGAACATTAGTCAGGGGGAAAGTAAAATGGAAATTTACTCTCTCAGCCTTTTCTGCTACCCGCTGGGTTTTTCTGCAGAAGAGACACCAGAGGGTTTTTTTTTTTTTTTTCCCCTGGATGTTTTTTCTTTATTGTTGTTGTAGTTATTTCTGTTGCTGTATTTCTACCTCCATTTTCAATCAAATTCATGATAGACAGACAAGTTACAGAAAGCAGTCAGCTGCAAAGATATAAACAAATAAAGGTAACTTTCTCTAGAGCATTTTAAAGGTTTAAAAATTGAAATGTGATGACAAATCTTCAGAATCTTAGACATTTACAGTGATTCAAGTATCTCCAGACAAAGTAGTTAAAGACATTTACAGATCTTATAAATACACAATATTGGAGCTTGGAGGAAATTTTAAATGCTGAGTCTGCACTCAAGTATCTAATTCACTCAACTGGCAATGGGAGGCTTTGCAAGATTTTGGAGGGAAGAATTTGCATTCATACAGGATATTTGTCTCAAAGTTCTTTGCAGATTTTACCTACCAGCAGAACAAATTGTGACTGGACTGACTTGATGTCAATGAAAATGAAAACTAGAGATGAAAAAAAGGTGTTTGCAATGCATAACAAGCTTTCAAATGACCTTAAAATAAGCCAGTAGTAAGTATAGTTTCAGCTGTTTGTAATAATATCATAGATTTTACAGCAAATTATCCTTGAGGCACTTGCATGGGCCGAAATGCAAGGCCAAATTTCCATCTGCTTTCATATCAGGTTCTCAATATATGCAACTAGTCTTAAACTTCTTCCAAAACTCAGTAACATTCTCTAGTCATTTGCACTACACAGAAGCTTGTTGCGGGAAAGGATTTGAAAGCAAGTGTGGAGTGAACCCATGGCCCATGCTGGGATGTTCTGGAAGAACGTATGGTCTCCCTGCCATGCTAATCCAGCAGAGACTTCAGGCACTGCAGCCCCCCTGTGACTAAAAATAGATGGCACAGGTGTGATCCCATCTGCCAGAAGAGTAAGCAAGTGGGAACACACAAAGCCTTTGCTGCGATGTTCTCTGTACATTTGGGGATTTCTTGCTTTGGCTTCCAGATTGTTAGTTAGAATTTCTTTTAAAAAGGCAATTTTGTTACCCTTGCTAAAGGATTGAGATGACAATGATGTAGGTTAAAACAAAATTGGTTGGGAGGGAGTGTTGATGTAGTGCCAGAGGGGAGAAAGGCACTACAGAGGGACCTGGATAGATGACTGGATCGATGGGCCAAGTTAAACTGTATGAATTTCAATAGGGCCAAGTGTCAGGTCCTGCATTTTGATCACAACCAACCCAGGAAACCCAACAGGCTTGGGGTAGAGTAGCTGGAAACCTGCCTGATGGAAAGGGACCTTGGTGTACTGATGGACAGTTGGCTGAATATGAAATTCTACAGTTCTATGAAAAAATAATTTTAGAGCTAAAAGCCAGCCAAAGAAGTTGGGAAAAAGAAAAGTTAAAGGAACCAACTTGTTCAGGGGAACTTAAATCAGTTAAACAGGCACATTAAGAAAGGAAACATGAGAAGGGAGGCACACTCCACCAGTAGGCCAGTGGCCATCCTCTCCATTCGCGAGCACTCATAGGCTGCTATCCTGAGGGTCCCCTCAGCCAGCTTGTTGGGGAAATAAGAAACAGCTGAGCTGGAACTAGATGATCTTTAAAGATCCCTCTCAAGACATTCTATGATTCTGCCTTCCTAGGGAAAGTAACACGAACATTTGAAAAAGAAATAGCAGCAAATTTTCGTTCGCAAGTGGGACAGTTTCCAATTACAAAAACTGCTAAATTTGCCCTGAATTATATCCTTAAAGAAATTATTCCAGCAGGTCTAATCAGAAAAGTAAACAGTTCCCTCTAAACCTGCTTCTTATCAGGAACATTTTGCTTTAATTGGAAGCAGTTCTGGAACTCTCCAGGGCACATGCAAGATTTCTGGCAGACACTTAATTTTATAACTGAACCCCATTTAACTGAAAAGTAAATGTTCATTGGCTAGAAAACGGGATAAGAAGATTATAATCCCTAGAGAAGATGATCAGCTCTACACAGCTGCTAGGAACTCCAGCTATGATGCGGCATCTGAGAATTCCATTGAGTTCAATGTCTCCAGACTGATTAACGATTGCTCTGATAAGCAATTAAGTCTTTCTAAAGGAGTTTTTACTATTCTTACATGAGAAACTATCTGAACCTATAAATTAAATTGAGATATTCACAATGTGTTCAAATAGCTACCATAACACTTAAGATGGCAGTCCTACAATAGTGTAATCACTCCAGATTTCTGCACAAGCTGTACAGTTGCAGAGGTTGTCCTTGTCTAAGTAAGCTGTTGAACTAGTGAAAGCACGTTACAGCATTTTAAGAAGAATCAGTATCTCTCCTATTAAAAAGAGAATGAAAGAACACAGTTGCTAAGTGATGAGGATAATAGAGGATTACATAGAATAAAACCCTTTAAACCATAAGCCTGATCTGAAACTGACTGGAGTCTACCCAGTGACTTCTGTGGGACTTGAATAAAACCTGTATAAGCTTAATGAACCATTTCATTTTTTTCTAGCTGAGGACTGCTACAATGACAGGTGGGTTGAAACGAGATAATCTTTAAGGTCTCTTCCAAACCAAGCCATTTTATGATTCTATAAGTTTCTTATACATCTTCCTTGCTCTCATGGAATACTAATCAAAAGTAATACGCACTGGGAAATTACTCAAATTGACAGCTGAACTGAAATCCTCAACATTTAGCCTACCAAAGAATGCAGACCAAGATGACAGATTGAAAAGGAAGAGCAAATAAATGACTATTTTTAACCTCTCCCTCTACCCATGGGTTGAAGCATCAAATAGGCACAAAGCTGCCTCATTAATGATTCTATGGATACTATCCAATGAAAAGGATATCTAGTATTCTGTAGAGGGTTAGAAAGGAAGATTTCATGTGACAGGTTAGGGAACTAAAATCCCAGCCCTGCCTGAGATATAAATGAGAATAAACCAGCAAGAATATCTCCAGGTTGGAAATTGGAAGGCTATTTCTAGCTGTGATGAGTGAGGTTGCAGTTGAATTCGTAAAGAGATTAATAAAAAAGTGATTTCTGATAGTTTT